AGCTGGGGGGCGGGGGGAGGTGTGTCCCTGCCGGGCTGCGTGTGTATGTGTGTCTTCCCGTACTGAAACGGGGATTACGTAGGGCTGAATCTCTCCCTGACGTGTTCTTTCTTCTCAGAAACCTGCTCCTGCCAAAGCAGAGCCGAAACCAAAAAAGTTAGCGGCAAAGGTGAGAGTCGGTGGGAAGAGGGGAGGGAGAGGAGGTGGTCGAGTTCGTTGTGCAAGTGCCTGGTGGCGCCCCATTTTGTGGCATTGATGCACAGTGTCTGAACGTTGTCACTCGTCTTCACGTGTTCCTTGTGGGAACACTCATTTAGCTGAAGCGTCATTTTCAGATGCTTCTGCCAGGATCTACAGGTACCTTCCACAGCTGTTTGAGTAGGTTCTTGTTAAGCACTCAAAGTATCGCATAGAAACATGGGCAGTGATTCAGGGGTGTCAGATGGTAGTTTGGTACTGAGCAGAACTACTCGAATGTCGAAGCAACTGTACATAGGGTTGTATTTCATCGCTGTAACAAAAGGGGATAAAATATACTCACAGTTCTAAGCCGTGTGTTAGGACAGGAAAAAAAAATACTTGAAGTACTTAGGCAGCCACTGAAAAAGATCTGAGTTTCCATTCATGTAGTCTAGCTTTCAGGTCTTTGTGTGCATGTGTAAGTAAGCATGGTTTAGAATGATCTTTCAGTTTTTTAGTACAGCCTTCACAGTGCCAATAACTGAGGTGGAAAATCCTTTGTTTCTTGGGAGAAATAAAAGAGGCTGTGTATCTGTTGGCTTGTTGGTCTATGTGTTTTTAAGTGTTCTTTGTGATTATAAGCTTTTCTTTTTAATGGATGGATTAAGAGCATTTCAAATACACTAATATAGAACTCTGCTTTGCAGACTTTTTGATGTTTTCATTTTATTAATCCTACTGAACAGTGACTTACCAGTAATGCTTCTTCATTCCAATGGTTTGAATATCAGTGCATTCCCATTCTCAAAGTTGTAAGCCTAAAGAATTTGGGGAAGCTTTCCAATTTTACTTCAGTTCTGATTCTCTTTTTTCCCAGTGTCTTAGTGTGGTGCATCTAATTCTTAATGCTGCTAGTTGACGCTGACTGATACGCATGATACTGACTTGCTGCCTATAATTACTTCTAGAAAGAAAAATTTCCACACTTCATAGCTGGGAACATATTCATGTAAACCAACTGCATTACAAGCAGTTGTCATCTTAGAATATTAAGTAGAACACCTTGCACGAGGCCCCCATGGAATGCTGCTGTGATGGGAATATGTGAACAATTTTTTCTTATGGCTATTACCATTGGCAATCTTCTGTCATTTGGAAACTTCCTTATTGTTAATGTGAAAATCTCTTTTGTTCTGATTGCATTTTACTTCTCCAGCTTCAGTACTTTCTCTCATTTAGCTAACTCTGGACTCTCTTTAAATGGGTTGCAGAAATATTTCACTGTTACATACCAGTCCAATGATAGATTTTTAATTTTTTTTTTAATTATTATCTTTTTTCTGTATTTGATCCATCAAAAGATGCTTCTTTGCATCAACTTTGTAACTTTTTAAAACTTGCATTTTAAAATGTGAATTTTAGGTCATAGACAACAAATTAGGACATAAATTGAAGAACATATTTATGAAACACACACAATATTTTTAATGAGATTAGACAGGTTTTAAGGTAGATCAGTGCTAGTGGTCTTCTGCTTAGAGGTATAAATGCATTACGTTCTTTTGCCACTTACTCGCATTGTACCTGCCCAGAAAAAGTGTTACAGTTTGTCATTTATTGAAAATTTTTGTTGGTATCATAAAGTCATGTTTGACAGATGGTGTCAAAACCAGTGCATTTGTGTAATTCTGAATTGATAGAAATATTTTGTAAGTAGGGGGATCAGCTGGAGGACAGGCAAACTTCGTAGCATTTGGTTGCTGTAAGGAATGTCTTGGGAGGATGTATTAGATACTTACATGAAAGTAGCTCTTGAACAAATACTTCTTCCCTACCCATTTAACAACAGTCATGTAGGCACAGAGGATGTGACCGAGATACTAACGAAGGAGCACTGAAAATGCTACTTCTAGGTGATGCATTTATTTATGTTAGGTTACTGAAATTCCTGCCTATCAATGTAAGAGGAAAAAAGAGTGTTTGAAGTGCTTTGTATTTACAAAGTGGAAGGACTACATTGCTATTTCTTATGCGCCATGAGGTTAGATCATATATTACAAATTGCTTTGTCTAGCCACTAGAATCTAGTTATTGTCTCATCCCAGTTTGATTCTCTCATTTTACTGACTATCTGAAACTGTGATTGTTTGTTTATATATAGTTTGGAAAACTTTTTTGGCAGTTGAACTATGTATTACCTCATTGGTGGTTGGTAGTAGCTCTTGCTGTTTAGCACCTCTATCTTGGTTTTGTGTGTCTTTTATTATTTTTTAAGTTTACCTAGTAGGTCATAGGAATTTACTGACTGGAAATTTATTTCATTGTAGGATAAATCTGACGACAAGAAAGTTCAGTCAAAGGGGAAAAAGGGGCCTAAAGGAAAACAGGCAGAAGAGACAAACCAAGAACAGACAAAGGACAACCTGCCTGCAGAAAATGGGGAAGCTAAAAGTGAGGAGGTAAAGTTGTCTATATTCTTTGGTGCAAAGAGCGGGATAACTTACTGTACTGGTTTATCCAAACATCTGTCAGAAACATATGCAGTTCTTATAATAGAATCTATTTCTGCCAAAAGAAAGATGTAGTCTATTGAACATCAGTTTTCCAAACATCAATTTTCCAGATATACCTGGAAAATTCTAGTTGTCCCAAAAAGAGTTGCAGTGATGTGATAACAGTCCCTGAAATTAAGGAAAAAGGAGAGAATTTTACCAAAGTTCCAATAAAGGATAATGTCCTTCAGAGAGGGGCTGTTTTCCCTGCAGGTAGATCTTGGCAAAATAATACATACAGGGTGTACAGAGGGGATATTGCTCTGGGCGGGGTGTCTGTCTTCGGAGGTTTTGGTTTGGGTGTTAGTCTGCCTTTGGTGTTACTGGGGGAGAGGTTCCTTCTTGCTACAAAAGTTTTTGTGACAAATGCAATACTCATTTTCTTGGGACTGGAAACAGCTTTCACTGAAAACCCAAAGTTGAAATGATTTAACCAAAGTTGAGATAACATTTATAGGAGTCACAGATACAAACACTGCTGGTAGAAGGGACAGGTTGGTGCAGGGATAGAAGAGAAAGTGCAAGAACTACTAGTAGCTGTTGTTGCTGAAGAAATGAACATGCCAGATCAGTCTTGGCTGTAATACTGTACTAAAATGGTTGCGTTGCTGAAGTTTTTGGAGTCTGTGATCATCTAACTTAAAACATCCTCCACACTGTATTCTTTTTCTGGAATGTGGACATAATTTAGTTTTAAATTTAGGACAAGATCTGTAGGGAGAAGCAGTGCCTCTTACTAGGGCAGCTGTTAACAACTGGATGAAACACAAGTTTTCATGTGGTAACAGGCCTAGAATTAGTCTCAGGTTTCTGCAATACTGAATGCCTCACTCATTTTAATTAGTTCAGTGGAGTTTGCTGATCAGATAGTCAGATGATTTTTTAATTTAAATGTGATTCATGCTTCCTGTCTGGTTGTTGCATTGAAAAGTAATTTTTTCAAGATAGAAAAAAAAGTCTATCTGAATTCTATCACACTGATCCATCAGTGTGCAGATAGATCTTCAAGTAGAGGAAGAGAGTATTTGGTTTTCAGGTAGATGATGTGTTTTGGTGGGTGAGGAAGGTACAGGATGGTACTTGAATGTACAAGACAACTTACTTTGGGGTAACAGTTTTTCATTTGCAAGCTTACAGTGTGATCTTTGTGAAAAAGTTCTGCTATACCTAGGAATTCTTTAGTTGGCTTAACTTTCTGTGTAGCTCTGGCTCTGTGCTACTATCGCATAATTTGGTCTTTTAATTTGTGCATGTAGTCTTTCAGGGAATACCAGCGACAGTTAAATCTAGCAATATTTCTCAAGTGGGGTCTCTTTAGTACACTAGTGTAGAGATGATGTAAATTTACAAGGAACGGATGATGACTTCTGGGGCACGTCTTCATGCTGGTCTCATGTTGGTCGCACCAGCCAAGATTGCAGGTTTAATGTAATACCCGAGTCTAGAAGAGGCAGACGTATAGTCTGTCCTGTTGGACGTTACTGTTTTCAGTAAGGACAACAGTGTCAGTGATGCCGTTGTTAATCCACGACCTGGTGAGGGGCCAGTGACGACTTCTGGTGACACTCACAGAGACTAAGGCCTACAAATGGAAATGGCTTTCGTACTTCATCCTTCAAAAGCTTCCCGCAGGCGGCAATAAAGACTGAATGGGTGTTCGGGGTCCTGTTCGGGTACTACTGTGATTAAACAATCTGTTCTGCTAGTGCTGCAAAGCTTTGGAATAATTAAGTATAACTTTTATATTAATACATATGTTACATTCCTTTCTTTAACCTACATTGCAAATGCAGCGAGTTTTCCGATCTAAATGGAGTTGTAATTTTAATCAATTAAGTTTGTATAAACTTGTTCTGAAGTGGAAGTACAGCATATAGAGACTTGACTTGAAAACATATAGCTCTCCTGCTGCAGTTCAGTTTCACTGAATGTATTTTTACAAAATTATGTTTAATTTAATGCAGTGCTGTGTTTCTAAGTCTTAGTTACTTTAAAACATGGTAAGATTTGAGAATATATTAATGGTGCTGCACTGAAATTTAAGTGCATGAAGTGTATCTATAGTGTCTTTTCTAAACACCCTACACACAGGGATTTTAGCTCAGAAGGTTTAAAAAGCCCCCTTTTCCTGCCATAAAGGCAGTAATTATTGAAATGGGCTTTGTTCTTTAAAAAAAATAAAAATCCTTTGCAGTGTGTATCGAGTAGTAACAATGGCAACATTCTGAAATGCGTACTGATGCATCTGAGGAGGTAGAAGCCTTTTCAAGACAGCTTGTTTTTAGTAGGTCACTATCTAAGAGAAATAAGCAGATCGTGACACCAATTTATTAAGACACTAAAGCACGGTATGTAGAAACAAGGCACGGTCGTTCTGTATGTCAGGTTAGCTAACTTGTGCATTAAAAAATACTACGAACAAAGAGGCTGAGTCACTCAGAAACTTTCTGCACTGAAGTGTTCTGTTTTTTTGTCTTCTTTTCAGACTCCAGCATCTGACGCAGCAGTAGAGAAAGAAGCGAAGTCTGAGTAACATCTGGTACCAAGTCTTTAATTGGTGGTCCTTAGACCTTTCTTCTTGTACAATTCAGAGGAATATTTTTATCAACTATTTTGTAAATGCAAGTTTTTTAGTAGTTCTAGAAAACACATTTTTAAAAAGGAGAGAATCCCGACTCAACCCTTTTTTTTACATATTTAGATAAGTGTAAATGCTTTTTTTAAGTGGTAAAATCATGTACTGGTTGTCTGTTTTCTATGAAACCAGAAATTAATGGCATGTTACATTAAGGAGAGGGCTTTGAAGCCTTGAGGCTTCACGTTCCGAAGACTGTGAGGGACAGTTTTTCTATCCTATTAAATGAAGCATAACACAGATCAGACTTTGGAATTCATAATGGTATGTTGAGAATGTCTTAACATTTTAGTTATTTATCTTTATCTATGGTTGTACCATCAGTAGAATTGCTTATCTAATAAAACTGCTCCCTAGTGTTGGAGTTCTTGCTGAGTGATGTATATCTGTGACGAAGTTATTTTTGGTAGTTGCGGCTTTATTTTTTCCAACAACTTTGTAGCTGCGATGCGAAAGATCGGAAGCTTTTATTAGATCTTTAAATACTGACTAAGTAAAAGTTTCTGCTTGGCAGACGTAACTTACTATGTCAGCATTCGAGACACTGGAACTTCACATCTGGTTTTGAAGGACGGCTTGTCTACAAAGATCAAATGAAAAATATTTGAAACAGTCTTAGGAAAAAAGCAGAAGAAATAGTTTTTAGATTTAAAAAACTATGTGAATAAAAACAATTGTAAAATTGTTCATAGTGTCTGTGATCACCAAACAAAAGCCAAATAAATCTTGATTATGAAAGGATGTTTCTGTAGCTCCTGCATTGACTATGACAACTCACAATCTAAGTGGTGTAGTTTTTGATTCTTAACTGCGTTCTTAATATTGTTGAAAATGTACTTTTCAAGAGATAGGTGATAGTGCAGGGAGGGAGTAGCAAGTAGAAAACTGTAGTTGTAGTCTTAATCTGGACTGCCAGTTTGCATGCTGATAGCCTAGTGCTGCTTCTGTTACCTAAAAAAAAAGTCAATAATTAGTAAGCATCGGATGTTTTCATCTGTTCGGCATCTAAGAGTTTGCATATGCACTCTTGTGTAAATAACGGCTTTAAGGAAGATGCACAAAGCAATCCTCTTGAATGTTAACTGATCAGATGGTGTTGCTGTTGTGTTGGAACTGTATTGGAATTTCCCCAAATCCTCCTTTAAAATCAATAAAGCTTCAGATGTCTGGGGAAAAATGAACCTAGGCTGTGAACCTTCCCATGTAGCCGAGTTGATGTAATGGAACCCATAGAGGATGAGCTGTGGAACAGCCTGGGCTGGAGCAGGGAGGGAAGGACAAGAAAAGTTCCTGTTCTGTGAGCTGACAGTGCTGTGAGCAAGTGTACCCGCTGTAGAAGGCTGCAGGTTGACAGAGCATCATTTCAAATAAAACACACCTGTGCTGAGAGCGAATTCATGTTGTACAAAACTGTCCTGATTCTTCCTTGCTGTATTTGAGAAGATTAAATCAATCTTGTTGAAGATTTAGCAGCCTTTCATCAGAAGGGGGCATATTAAGTATATATTACTTAACCTTAAAATAAAAAATCAAATCTAGCACAGCATTACTTCAGTTCTCCCACAGAGTGCAGGGTTGGTTTTATCTTACCAATCTATTTGATGCCAGTCAGACAACTGTCAACCTTGTCTTGGGAGGAGTCAAGATCAAAAAGTAACGTTCATTCTTTGTTTCCTTTTTTTCCCCCTTGACCAAGAACTTGTTTATGCTCTTAAGTAACATCTGCAAGCACAGTATCTGCTTCCTGTACATTTTTGGTGCCTTTTTCAAATTGTCATACAGTTATTTCCAAAAAACATGTTAGTTTCACCTCTAACTTACTTTCTTAAACAATGCTTCCATTTGAGAAAGCATTTTACCATTTTCACTTCTTCAATATTTAAGCAATGTTTACCTTTTCTTTAGCTTATATATAGGATACCCTCCCACACTGGTCCAATTCCACCACAGCTGCGTTCCTAGCAGAGCACACCTGGCTTTGGCTTCCAGTTCTTGGATATTCCAAAACTGTAAATTTATGCCACTTTTTCTAACCTGCCCTGCATTCCCCCTAACCCCCCTCTCCCCCCAGTTACCTTTGTTGGTTTAATTTAGTAGTAGCATGACATAGCTACATGACATTCTTTACTTTCTGTTTTTAGCAAGTCAAACCCACCAGTTAAATGACTAATAAACTTGCAGGTAAATACCCCCAAATAACCTCCCTTACCTCCTTTTACTGAATGCCTACTTTTCGTGTGTGTTGTCTCTGATGTTGAGATCCTGTTGACTTTCACCATCTCTCTAACATCTGTTATCCGCTGTGTAATTTATTGTAACTGCTCTCTAATATTTACTCTTGGGGACAAAAAGTTATTTCTTACTTCATTATGGAAATGAAAGGACTCAGCAAGGGTACATCAGTGACAGCTTCTCTCTCGCAGAATAGAGGAATTTTCACGCTGGAAGAAGGAAAGGACAGGGGCAGTTGCATCAGGAGCACAGGAGCCCTAGATCTGTTGTGGGCAGCGCAGCCCACCTGATGCGGTAAAGAATGAAATAGGCTTTCCTAATTACATAAAGCATGCCTAGTAAATACGTAGGTGAATCAGCTATGAATTTTGATTGATTCTGCAGTAGACACATACTATTGCCCTTCTCCACATAGCATGAAATGCCAATATGTAACCATAAAAAAACACCAGTTTGGCTACTGGGAAAATGAGGAATTGTATATATTGGCACTAGAGGTCAGTTCTGCCTGTGGAGAATTGGAGTGGAAAGCATTTAAATTCATCTGACTTTCCATGGGCATGCTTCAGAAAAAGCATTCTTTCCTGTACGATACCAGATATATCTGCTCTGTACAACTAAGGAATGGAGTGACAGCTAATGCAGTTTTGCATGCAGCACTACGGAATACATACATAACAGAGAACTATCCGTTTCAAAATACAACATGAAGAGAACAAAACACATTTCTTTGAAGTTACTCAATCGTATTTGTATGCTGCTACTAGTTCTGGTTAAGAGACTGCTGTTTCATACATGCTCATGCTGCACCATTCTGGAATTCACTTTCTAGTGTCAACTGAATCACAGCTTTTTAAGTCATGAACACAGCCAGGACGCTGAAGTGCATCCAAGTTCAGCTGATGAATACTGATCTGTTCGGCGACGAGATCTAGAGGAACACAGGTGGCCTTTAAGAATGATGCGACTGAAGCTTGCAACAATACAGGAAGCAGAAAACCATGGATCTCTTTCAAAGAGAGATTTTTAATGGACAGGATACCTATTTTTTTCTTGTACCTGAACTGTGATGCAGGAGCAGTAACCAGGCAGGGGGTGGTGAAGAGCAGGAAGCAGAGGCAGCAGTCCGGGGAAACTGCCTGCTTGCTGGGCCTGCACCTCAGGTGTACAAAAGCAATTTGTCAAAAGCTGAAAGTGCTTCTGAGGTAGTGCGATTAATAAAATACATACATATTTCTACAATGATACGTAAAAATATTTTACTTCAAAGGTTCCAGAAGTGCATACCAAGCCACCACAGCTGGGGAATGGAAAAAGGAGCAGCTCAGATTTAAAATACAGCACGAGTATAGCCATTGCTACATTTACATTAGAATTCACACTGGGCAGAGGTGAGAAACAACTGTCAGAAGGAAAAAAAATAAACCCCCCCATAACCAGGCTCCCAAAGCTGGGGTGGAGCAGAGGTGGCGCTGGCACCTGTTTGCAGAGAGGCAGTGCAGGGCGCTGGGGCAAAGCTGCTGGTTTTGGAAAGGTGATTCCAGTGAAGTGAGGCATTCCTCAGCAGGGTTGGGGAAATACCACTCCCTAAACTGAGGCTGAGGGTAGTCGAGGTGCCCCCGAGCATCACACCCACGGAGCCTCGGTGGCATAGGAGACGACCGATGAGCCTGAGGAGTGAGGTGACCCGCCTGAAGTGGCAAACGGGAGCCAAAAGCCAATCGGTCATGTGTAAAAACAC